AGAGCCTATCAAGCCACAGGTAAGGTTACCTGACCATGTAAAATGGCCTGTGGATGTACAAAAGCTTTCTTGTTTTCGGAGCAAAAGAGAAGTAGACCAGCTCTTGGTTCTTTACTGCAGTGGGTGATGTCAGGTTGCAAGTTACACAAACCTGTTATTTAGAACATTCATTGTAAAACAGCCTTAATGAGAATCACGAGTGGCTTTTTTTAAAAAATTTTTAATTCCAGGTTACAGAACTTAATCATGTGAAGAATATATTGCGGTTGCCAAAAGGCACAAGGAAACATGCTGTGGGGATATATTTTAATGATGACACATCCAGGACTTTTGCTTGTGAATCAGGTAGGTCTAATGACATAGACTAATGTGTGTGTATACACAATTGCGGTAGCTGTAAATATGATAAATGTTCCACGCCAACCTGCAGATTTTTGGTCATTTGTATGCAGAACTTGAGGCAGATGAATGGTGCAAAGTCCTGCAAATTGAGTGCCTGGGGACTCAGATTAATGATATTAGCCTTGGAGAACCTGACCTATTGGCTTCCGGTGTAGAGAGGGAACAAAATGGTATGTAAATACATGTTGTATACAACCACAAGTAGAAACATTCAGGGCGCCTCCCCAATGGGTTGAGAAAATCCAGAAATGTTCCTCTGTTGGATTCTTTCATTTGGTCATATTTGTGATCTGCAAGTGACACCTCTGTATATGTTCTGTCCTCCTTTCTCTTGCCCCATTCTTTCCCTCTTGCTAGTTACACAATGTGTGACCTAACAGAGATAGATTCAGCATTGCTTAGTTAAATGTTCCAGGCCTACTATTCTAAGCAACAGAGAAATGATTTGAAATGAGAATAAATCCCAACTGTCATTAGACTGCTGAGGGATGTGGACATCAACCTTTTAAATAATATGCATACATTTTATCTCAGTCTGAACAGTGGCTTATCCTTGTAGGATCCAAGGATTTTTGGATTGCATCTTGTATTCATGTTCAGCAGCTACTCTTCTACTCTGTTGAGTTCCTAAGTTCATGAAACAGAAAGTTTGTAGGTAGAATCTTGCAGATTCTGTGTATGTACATCATACACCCTCAGACTTACAACCTAGAAAACACAAGTTTAAAAAATTGAAGGGAATACAACCCTCTTTATCCTGAACAGCTGATGTTTGGTCAACAGCTATAGAGAACCCAACTCATGTGAAATAGGGAGGACAACCTTATAACTTCACTATATTGAGTCTGATATGGAATTTTGTGCAAAGGGCATGGAGGGAAAGAATAAACAGTATTGATAGCAAAAAGTGTACCTTGAATAAGAATTTAGAATTTCTCTTACAATTTGAGATTTAACCATTATATCTGGGACTCTGTGTTTTTGAAGTGATTTCATACGCTTAAAGCATGGGGAGAAATGGTACATTAGGCAAAAGACTACATTGCACTTTTATCCTTGATGTGCTACTTTTCTAGATGCAGTGGTTTTTATTGTGCTGTGGACATTCAAAAATATTATTTTCTTCTGCCACCTGAAGTGGTACGATCAAATATACTTCTGCAAGCCCTATACGATTGCTCTTTTGTTTTGTAGGCTGTTAGGAAAACATGTGGGAATAATTATGAAGCAGTTTGGATGTTGGAAAATGCCACAGAAGCATGTTCTGTTATGATTATGCTGTGTTTTAGTTCTGCAAGGATTTTAGTTTCAATCTTTTGTTTTTCTCCCAGAGAGATTCCACGTGTATTTGATGCCATCACCTAATTTAGATGTGCATGGGGAATGCACCTTGCAGATAACATTTGAAAATATCTGTCTTTGGGACATTCAGAATCCCAGAATAAAACTGGTCTCTTGGCCTTTAAGTGCCCTCCGGAGATATGGGCGGGACTCAACTTGGTTTACATTTGAAGCTGGAAGGTGAGCAAATTCTTTTCTGCAGGTTTTTTCCATAAAGCTGTTGAAAACAGGACATTCTTTTTCTGCATTGTGGCCTTTGTATATCATGTTAGGAAGATACACACTAAGCCAACAGACATATACAGCAGCAGCAACTGTTCTCGGTCCTATTAATATAACATCTGAAATATCTAATGGCAGAGGAAGTAGGTCTATTTGGTTCTTGGGAGAAGTGCCAATATTTTAAATCTGTTGACAAATGTGAATCTGACTCGTCTTATTGGGAGCTACGGAAGTCTGATTCAAACTGGAGTGCACCTTTCCTGGTATTGTGTTGGTTGGCAAGGAGTTTTTTTGGGTCCTTTTAGATTTTTTTTCTTCAGCCCAATCTGGAGATGCTGCAGAATCAAGCCTATGATTTTCTGCATGCAACACAAGTATTCCAGCTCTGTGGTTTTTATTCAGGATAATTTTAAAGGAAGGATAAAAACACATTTCACCTGCATGTATACACATATATATTCACACACAGGTACAGATGTTGGCTGTAGGCAAGGAGCGCATTTAACAATGGATTAATTAGAATATCCAGTACTGGAGGAACAATCTTTTCTGGTGCAGAGAGGAACAAAAAAGGAAGTTTTCAGTACTGAAATTCTTCTTAAAATATACCCATTTTAACTTGTCTGAAGAGATTAAACTGAAATAGTCAGCCAAAATGGCAGCACAGGTAGATTCAAAGATAGCAAATTCTGCTGCTTCTCCTCTGATCCATACTAGGGCTCCATATGGAATAATGGCTTTTAGGATATCTTGTCACGTAGAGAAATAATGCATAGCTCCAGGATATTAAAAAGTAGCCTCCCAGAGCTTTAAATTGTAGCTATTCTCCCTTTGTGCTCTTTTCATTAAATGTGCTTTGTATGACCTTTATTTAGATTTCCCAGATGGAGAAATTATTTATGCTTGTCAGCCTACCCGAGGATACATGTATGATACCTATGTTTGACTAATAACCTTGGTTTGAATTTTAATACAAACAACATATGCAAAGTGGGTTGTCAGGAGCCTTAAATTTTTGCACCTGCTTGTTGTGCATGTTGTGATGCAGTTCTCCAGTCAATGCATACCTTACAGAAGATTGCATACCAAAACATGCAGAGAAATGTATTTCTAGAGCAATATTTTTTGGTGGAAAAATTACAAAGAAGCATAAAATTGGGACAGGATCAACTTTTGCACCAAAAAACATGGCAGCGTGGCAGGAAGTGTGGCAGGCAGAAATTCATCTGCACTTAATACACTGATACCTGCTAGTTTTGTTTCATTCTTCTTTGCTCCTTTTCTTCCCCCAGCAGAGACCGTACTGTACAAATGCACATTTATAAATTATTCTGATCACATGGAACCACACTCTGTTCTCTTTCTGGCAGGATGTGTGATACTGGGGAAGGACTATTCGTCTTCCAGACAAGAGATGGAGAGGCAATCTATCAGAAAGTCCACTCAGCTGCCCTGACCATAGCAGAACAACATGACCACTTACTGCAGAGTGTGAAAAACTCCATGGTAGGCCTCCTAGTTCTCCCAACTGCCAGCACTAATTCCATAAACTCAGTAAGCCACCTTCTTAAGCAGGAATTCAGACTTGGATAAGCCTATAACTACAGTTGCTGTTTAATTAATGAATGTGGCCGGCGAGGGCTGGCACAAGATTTCCTGATGGATTGATTTGTCTCTGCCACAGAAGTGGGCAATGCTGCCCTCAGTTTTCAGAAACAGGGGTTGAGATGTCCTCTGGGGGCTGGCAGAAAGGTGACTGAGGACCCCAAGCATTCACTGCAGCTTATCCACTCCTGGCTTCACTCTTGCCGCTGAGCTCCTTGTTTAACCCTTACATAGTTGTTAAAAGAGTATTTAGCTCTGAACATCAAGTCCCTGTTCCTAGGAAAGATATGTGGCTCTCATGAGTCTTTTGGGGGTGTAAAACAAATAAGTGAAAAGGAAGGCATCTTACAGAAGAGCTTTTGGGTGTTCTCCTGCTCACATTGTCCTTCTCAGCAAATCTGAAGAATTTGCCCTCTTATGGCCTTCTGCCAAGTAATGTATCATCTTAGCCATACTGCCATCTTGACTTTATCAAGTCTCATGCCAACTCTCTTTTTGTTATTCTCTATTTCATGTGAAGCCTAGATGAGGCTGTGGGGAAATCAAGTACATATTATAATAGCGCCTAAAAGGAAAGGTTTGGCGTCCCAGATACCTAGTCGCTGAGTATCTCATATATAGAACTGCTGCAATAAAACCAAACATTTGGGTAAATAATCCTGTCCTTGTCAGATTGTAGTTCATTTCCAAAATGGGAAACATCTTGCCAATATTTTTTACCTTGATCAAAGTTGTACTGATTTGTTTACCCCGCTTTAAGACTACAAACTTCATGATGCCCTGTGAGATTCATGAAAACCATCTGCTTGAGAACAAATGTGTCTTAAACTAGAATGCCTGTTTGGAATATATGCACTACTTTGCCCCAAATCACATTGGAATTTTACTGGAAGACAGGGATGTATTATTCGTTTTTGTGGAATTGAAGCAGAGATAGAGCAGCTGATACCTGAAATGGTCAGGGAAAACTTGAGATGTTAAATTAAATTATTAGCAATATTAGGTGTATTTCCTTAATCTATAAATTGCTTGTGCTCTGTAAATGAAAATAAGAACATTTTTTCTTATATGGTTTAAAAAAAAATGTTTAACATATTTTTCTCTTTCCTTAAAAAGAAAATGTTTTATTTGAACATACTCGTTTCTTTTGATTAAATGCTTTTCTCCAGTCCTTCTATCAGAGAATTTGAACTTACTTTAAAAATAATCTTTTTAAAATATTCTACATCCCTTTTATCTTAAACAAGAAAGATGCTGTTAATTCAAAAAGATGAGAGGTGCAGTGGGATATACTTTAAGATTTTTTCAAATGCACTTTTTAAAATGTGCTGTAGTTACTAAAATAGATTTCTAGTTGTTTCCATGACAGTAGAATATAGGATAATTTTGTAAGTTCTTTTGAAGCTTTACCTGATGGAACGTATTTATTTAACAGTGTGGGTGGAAGCTTTTATTGTATGGAGTATTTGTAACCCAGATGCAGGTGTTTAAAGATTTCATATTGCGTGTTTGTTCTGATGGAATGGCTAAATGTTATAGAAAGTGGAAGTTAAATATTGGTTGGGTTATACTATAAGTAGTTCTCTGTGATGGGGATGGGGGAGTCTGTAGAACATCCCCAGAAATCCAGTAGGACTCTACCCTCCTGGTCTTCTCGGAGGCCTTGAAGAGCTGGCTCTTTCTTTAAGCTTTGAGGTAGAATGACGCTGGACCCCAACAGGGTGGAATGCTGATATGTGGGACACTGTTGCCCCAGAGCACTAGGAGTTTTTATTTGTGGTTATTTTGTTTTATGTCTTTATTGTTTTGTGAGCTGCCCAGGGTTGGGGTTCGGTTCATGATTTGAGTGGCTATATAAGTTTTTTAAACCAACCAACCAACCAACAAACATACACTTCACATTCTGCAAATTAACCTAGTATGTGTCACTCTAAGTCCAACTTGTAGGCATTAAAGCTGTGCTGATTCACAGGGTTTTTTTTCCCCTTAAAATTAAAAAAATATAATAAAATTAACATATCCACCAGACCTAATGGGAGCAGTTACTGTTTTGAATATCTACAAGGTGTTCAAAGGAACTTTGACAGATATTTTTAACTTTCCAAAAGCTTGGTGGGCTTATTACAGCTGTGACAAAGGCTTCTCTTTTCTGGTGCTCCCTGGAATGACCATCTGATACTTGGCATTGTTTTATCACCTGGTCAGTCCAAGAAATACTAGGGAAGTGTTTCTTTTTTAGGAGTCCAGTGTGGCAACACTTCATAAAAGTTTAAACAAATCTAGGAGAGAGTGATTTCCTTTTTAAAAAGTGTAATTCTTCAGCTCTGCTCTCTCTGTGTGCATGTGTAGAGAGAGAAAGAGAAGAAGAGAAAATGGAGAAATCTAGCTAGAATCTGATTCGTACCTAATATTCATCCTGCCATGGGTTCCTCTGGGGAAAAAATCTGCAAATTTTCTCCGAGAAGAAATCATGACAAAGTTCTTTTACATTAATGGAATATTGTTAGTTAAAGTTCATGTTTTTCAGGGGGAAAATTATAAGCCTTCCCCGATGTTTTTCTCCTCTTTGGTCATGCCATGTGCTATTTTCCCCATTCTTAGAATAGCATATTTATTCTGAGCAAGTGTGATAATATGCAGCATATTCTAACCCCCTCCTTTGCAAAGACTGCCTAAGGTAGAATTGTTATGAAATCAACTTTCCAGCAAGTGGCATGTTTTTTTTCTTTTCCATTTTATACTGTGAAAGCCCAATTGCACATTTTCCTTCCTTCATGGGCAAGAATATGAGAGAATGACTGTAATCAGTGTCCAAAGCTGTAATCCTAAAACAAAGTCAAGCTGAACTACAAACAATTATGAACAAAGCCATACTTACGTAAACTTCTCTGGCTGAGGAACTCTAAGAGTTGGGGGAAGTTTTGACACTGTGCTGGAATGCAAGATATGTTGCTTTCATTGACCGGCGTACAGGTAGAACACAGCAGATGCTACACAAGTAAAATGGCCCACATGGGACAAGTCATGGCAGGATAAAGATGGCCCTGGGGGAAACACATATATAGCAATCACACATTGTCTCCCATTGACTTTAATATATCTTAACAAATCTGTCTTGTTTGGTTTGCTGCCAGGCAGGGGGTTCAGGTGTTCCCATTAAAAAAAAAAGGATCTAATATCATCCAGTCTTTATTTCAGTAATTCCCCTGCCCCAAAGACCCTAAATATGGGTTTATGTGTCTGTGTGTACCTGTTGCTGGAGTGACTTCTAGTAAGGCTAGTACTGTATTGCTTTTGAAGATATTTCCTGGGTTGCTGGGATTTGAGAAATTTGAATGCAATGCGGCTAAATACATGGCATGTCATTAATTCTTTACTCCCTAAATTGTTCATCTCTGCATACTTAAATCCAATGAAGAAATAGTGCATAAAAGCACAAAATCATACCAGTATTATTTCTCAGCCAAGGTAATAGGGTAAAATCTTGGTTTATGCGATCCATTTCCTCAAAGGAGTTATCAGTGTGACTTCTGACATCTTTCCTATGTTTTTTCCCCTAACAATCTTAGAATTACAGAATTAGAATTTAGGCCATCAGATGCAATGACCATCTCAGTACTGGACTCTAAATTAAAGCGTTTCTGACAAATGACTATCTAAGCCAGTGTTTCTCAACCTTAGCAACTTTAAGATATGTGGACTTCAACTCCCAGAATTCCCCAGCCAGCATTCCTGTTATTTAAATCATTTTTAGGCATTGCAAAGCCAGTGTTTCTCAACCTTAGCAACTTTAAGATATGTGGACTTCAACTCCCAGAATTCCCCAGCCAGCATTCCTGTTATTTAAATCATTTTTAGGCATTGCAAAGCCAGTGTTTCTCAACCTTAGCAACTTTAAGATATGTGGACTTCAACTCCCAGAATTCCCCAGCCAGCATTCCTGTTATTTAAATCATTTTTAGGCATTGCATTCTGGTTGTTAGAAGTCCTTAGTGTATTTTTGCAGAGCTAGTGTTCCCAAGATTTCTCAAAGTGGAGAGAATGTTTGTTTTTTTTAAAAAAACACTGCATGTTTGTATGATATTTTATCCAATATAAATTAAATTAAGGCTAAACCTATGGGTTAGGTTTCATGGGACTCATTCCCAGTAAACATAACTATCAAGAATAAGCAATCTGGTACTTTTCAGATATTTTTGAGCCCTTATCAACCTCAGCCAGTATGGCCATAGACAAGAAATTGTGGGAACTACAATCCAAAATATCTGGAGGGTATCAAGTTGCCTGATATCAGGCCGAATCTATCTATGCCAGTGTTGTCCAAACTTGGCCACTTTAAGATGAGTGGACTTCAATTCCCAGAATTCCCCAGCCAGCATGGCTGGCTGGGGAATTCTGGGAGTTGAAGTCCACATATCTTAAAGTTGCTAAGGTTGGCAACCACATAGATCAGTGTTGTCCAAACTTGGCCACTTTAAGATGAGTGGACGCAACCACATAGATCAGTGTTGTCCAAACTTGGCCACTTTAAGATGAGTGGACGCAACCACATAGATCAGTGTTGTCCAAACTTGGCCACTTTAAGATGAGTGGACTTCAATTCCCAGAATTCCCCAGCCAGCATGGCTGGCTGGGGAATTCTGGGAGTTGAGGTCCACTCATCTTAAAGTGGCCAAGTTTGGACAACACTGATCTATGTGGTTGCTAGAATCGAAAATGACTTGATGGCACATAATCAATTGATCAATCATGCTGCCTACCCAAATATAGAAGATAATAATCTTAACTGATAAAGCCAGGATATTCAAACTTCCTTCTGTTTCCTTAGGTTACCTAAGTTGCTGTTAATATCGGGACATGTGCTTCCTTCTTACACGATGCAGAGGTGAAAAGCATTAGAACCAACCTAGGTTTTGGTGCAACATGTTGAAAAGGCATTTCATGTGGTCCCCAGATATTCATCCCATTGTATCTTGGACTTTTTTTCAGCTCCAGATGAAAATGACTGAGCGAGCAGTTTCTCTTGGCACTATGGTCCCTTTACCCCGGAGCGCTTATTGGCAGCACATCACACGGCAACACAGCACTGGACAGCTCTTTGGCTTACAAGGTGGGGTGCTGATGTAACATTTCCAAAAAATAGTCCCATTGAGCCTCGATATCATTTATATACCAAGGTACAGATTCACAGGTATTTCCAAACCATAGTTTGACATTGCATAAACAATGAGAGAGGGTCTTCTGTGATTTCTTTTTCTTTATCTTCTCCCCTCTCCTGTGCCAATGACCTTCTCTGGCTTTCCATTTCAGGAAAGCCCTAATTTGTTATTATGCCTGAATCACAAATCTTGATGCTTGCCTTCCAAATAGAATTGGACATCAGCTTCAGACCATAGTTCTCAGATTTGGTTTGGAAGACAAAGCACAGTTTGCTGATTTGGATATGGTGAAAAAGTATGGTTTGGATGAATGAATGAGGAAGTTGCAAGAGAATTGGAGAATGTAAAGGAAGGGGTGAAGATGAAGAGAGAGCATACAGCCTTGACATTCGCTTAGGAAAGATCATAGCTGTGTGAAGATCAAGGTGGAAGACTTTTCTTCACTGAAAATGTAGATGACATAATCAAATCTCAGTTGACATTTTACAATATGCTGTCTAGACTTCACATCACTATTTTCATTTAAGAAAAACATATATTTTTTTTGTATAAAACTTAACGAATTACATATGAGCCCTCAAGTAATCTTGACTAGATTGTAGATGGAGTTGAATAAGTGGCCTGATTTCAAGCCACCCGTTTTGGAAAGCCTGTGACAATTAAGTCACAGGTTTAACTGATCAGTTCTCATTCCACCCCAGAATGATGCCCATATGTCTTTGTTGAAAGTCATTCCCTGTTATCTTTTCTTTATCTTGCCAAAATTTAGATTGCGAAAGCTGAAAACAAAGGTGGGAATAAGCAGCAATTTATCAGATTTTATTTATTTAATTTATTTATTAAGCAAATTTATATAGCCACCTATTTCACCCAAAGCAACACTGGGTGGCGTACAACAATCAAATGAAAAACAAATATAAAAACAACATGAAAAATATAAAAACCACAATAATAAATATCATAAAAACCAACCATAAGGGAGGGAGAATAAAAATGGCCCCCTCAGCAATGGAGCCATCTAAGCAGCTCTCGGGTTCCCCGGGAGCCCCAGGCCTGATCACAGATCCCAAATCTTGACTTTCTTCCAGATAAAAACCATCCATGTTTTGATTCTGACAATAGGGGAAGAACTTGGGACTCAGCACTTCATTATTTCCTCTACTCATCGGCTCTTAGAGACTTTACATTCTAAATTAATTCTTAATACTTATGCACACCTGATAAGTCCCAAGTAAGGATAAAACCTTACTTTTTAGTCACATGCTGCCTTCTCGTGGTCAATATAAATAAAAATATTACTTAGGATATACACTGTGTTAAAAAAAAAAAAAAGCAGGGGAGCAGAAATCATATAAAACTTTGTAAATGAGGGCATGTCATATTAACACCTCTCTGGTCTGAAAGTTTAAGAAATGGAAGGTGGACTGTATGTATGATTCATGAAAACTGGGAAATAACGCATTAAACTCCAAACATGCTCCAATCTATTAAAGCAGCCTATGAATATTCTCTTTCTTATTTACAACAGAAAAAGTATTACTTGCTTTTAGAATTTCTAAAATATTTCATAATAATTAGAACGTTATTTTAAATGCTCCTCTGATGTAGCAGCTTAGATTGCCTCATGCATGATGAAAGGGAAATTTTATATCTATCTATCTGTCCTGAATAAACTTATTTCTAGTAAGGAGAGAATGCTGCTGACATTTTTGCAGCTTCAGTTCAAAACATGTTAATGAACGTCTTGTAATCTCTGAGGACATCTAGTGGCCAGGGAAAGTGTATTTATATTGTCCAATGTAATATTTTATTTATGAGGGACTGGAAAGAAAAGTAATGAAAAATAAGTGCTATTAAAGGAAAAAATATGCACTGGTTACCAGCTGGCTTCTGGGTGCAATTCAAGGTGCTGGTTATCACCTATAAGCCCATCATGGCATGAGGCTTGGCCATCTGATGGACCACTTGTCTCCTGTAGTTTCTGTCCTGTTTGATTGGTGCCGATAGAAGGGAATATATGTAAAACAGGGTTGAACTGTGGAGTCCTTGGTGCTCTCTGAGCTTGGTTGTTTTCTTGCAGACATTTCATTACTCGACTAGGTAGCATCATCAGTCCTAACGTTGTTACCTAGTTGGGTAATGAAACTTCTGCAAGCAAACAACCAAGCTTAGAGAGCACCATGGACTCCAGAGTTGGTATGCTTCGGGTCCCATCAATTAAGCAGTGTCCTCTGATAGCACCCAGAAAGAGAACCTTCTCCGTTGCAATGGCTGCCCTCCTGAACAGCATTCCCCAGAGATCCATATGGCCCCAACCCTGACCTCATTCAAATGAGTTCTTAAAAATTGCTCCCCCCAACAAGCCTCAGGCTATGGAGGATGATGGGCCACTTGGGGGAATGTTTTGTATAAAAGAGTGTGTTGTTTTGCTCTTCCTGGATGCTCATTGTTCCCCCCCCCACACACACTGTTTTTGCTTAATTGTTCTAATCTGTCTTTAACATTGTAAAATGCCCGGAGTCATTGTGGAGTTAGGTGGATTTACAGATTTGATAAATAAACAAATAAATATAGTACAAAGACTGCCTGACAACTCTAGCACTTCAGGATATTAGCTAGTGTCTGCTAATGGCACACTGTAAACACACTTTTCAGTACCCTTGTAAAATCAGCTTCTTTTTTCCCCAAACACTTCAGTACTTGCTTCAATTTGTGTTTCTCCCATGCTTTATGTTTTCATAGGCCTGCTATGACTTCCCTCCTCCCAGAGCATGCTTTCCTTGCTAGACCCAGCACAAGGAGAAACACAAATATGAAATACGTGGAAGTCTTACCGACAACAACAGCACCAACAATTTTGGGTGGGATGCAAGAAAGTGTTTTACTTCTCTTTATTAATGAAGGGTTGTCCACAAGGGTCAAGAAAGTCAAGATGGTGGCCATAGCTGCATGCTCAAAACCTTACCCCTTTCTATGTGAAAACATGAAAAAGATGGGGCTTTAATTCATGGTTGTGGCCATAATCTGGACTCTTTTGACCTGTTTGCAGAAACCCCCGGGTGAGGAGAAAGTGAAGGAGGCTTGGTGTTTCGACACTTCAAGTATTGTTTTGAAAATGGAGTGGATGGTGATGTGGAAAAGCTCTGTAAAAAATATGAATGTTACAATGAAGGGAAAAATTGTTTCTTTGTCCGGGTGCTTTTGTGCATCTTAAAACCATGGTTTAACACTAAACATGGGCAGCTGCCCACTTTCACATTTGATAATTTACTGGTATAATCTTACTTTCCTTTTTTGTTTGATTTGGAGAAGATAGCCCACTGAAGATCCACAGAACAGAAACCTTTCCCACCTATCGGTCAGAGCATTGATAAAATGGAGCCAAGGACTTTAAAAAGCTGTGTGTGTTTGTTGAGATGGACTGGTCTGGCACCAAGGCTTTCACTGAACTGGAGAACAATAATGAAGCAGACAAAAGGAAGAAAGACTGGATTATGACTGCTAGATTATTCCATAATTTCAGGAGAAGAGGAGATTGGCTTGAAAATCATCATTTGTAATTTGCAGTATTTCATAATCACATCTGGAACAAAGAAACTTTCCTTCAGTGTGGGTTTCATGGATCGTTAATATCTGCTGATGATTAGTCCTATGCTATCAGTTGTTCAAGGTTTAGTTCATTTCAGTGGTATCTTGAATAATGTAGTTTACAGTCTTTCTCTATTTTCTTGATTCAACCCTGACTATAGCATTTTTCCACTTTTAAGAATGGTTACTTGTTTTTAGGAACTGGAATCAGTTGTCCCTGTCTATTAAAGTCTGGTTTTGTCTCATCTAAGTTATCAAAAGATAATTCTTGTGTCTCTATGTTTATTACATATTCTAGTGCTTAAATGTGTACTTTAGTATATTAGAAATAAAATGGCCTTTCCCATATTGTTAAAAAGATTACATGCAACTTTTCTGGGATATACAGAAAGAGCTGCAATATTATGGAGGTAATAATATTGCCCTATTTGGCATTAGCAACCCTTCCTTTTAAGCATCAGGTTGACATTATGCACTGAGAAGATTTCAGGCTGTATGAATGGTTCAATACCTATTCAGAATACAGAGCAGAACTTTTCAATATTTGCTACTTCATGATATGAGAGCATGTTAAGTAACATAGAAAGGTAGGATATCAATGCCTAATGACCTTAACTATCATAAACATGGGATCATAGCAATAAAACCCCCTGCCCAGGACAGGAATCCTAGATAGAAATCCGAATACAATTCCAGATAAATAGCAGTCCAACCTATGCTTGAAAACCTCTAGTAATGGACCACCCATAACTCCAGGAAGAACCTGTTCTGCTGTTTAACAGCTCTTGCAGTCAGGAAATTTACCCTTATTTTGAGTGCAGACCTTTAGACTCAACATACCCAGGTCCTTTAGCCTTTCTAAACAGGATTTAGCCTCACTAGATGTGCCTAAGCTTTTTAGAAACAAAACATATCATATTTAGTGCCTGAAACAGGAAGGCTAAAATGAATGGACAATCTTTGGTAGCCAGGAGCTACAGTTAACTTGGATAGGTCTGCAGTGCCCACAATGGGCAGAAATATGATATAAGATTGTCAGAAATTTTTCATACATGGAGGAGGGCAAAAGTTTCTGGTTTTATATACATTTGCTTTACATATGGCTTGCATTATAGTCTTCACCACTTTATAATATTTTTGGCATCAAACTATAAGCAGCCATGCTGTTGATTTTCATTAATTGTGGACAAATGGCACTCCAGAATTATAGAAAAATTGGTCCAGGGGCTACATTCAAGTCTCAGGTTGTTCCCCTTCTCTCCCAACAAGATGTTCTTGTATATGCAATGTACAGATCTTTTAAATACAAAACCTGTTCCCCCTCCCCCCAATCATCTATGAGATGAAAAGAGATACTGCTGTTGTTAGCAGAATTCATTTAACGCCATCCATCAAAGAACCAAATGGAATTTTCACAATAACTCTCTCTCTCGTGTGTGTGTGTGTGTGACTCTGAAACAACCCCCTCCCATTTTTTTAAAAATTCTTTCTACATGCTTGATCCTTTCTAGGTTTTTCTTCATGATTGCCTGCTTCTGTACTCAATGTATTCTGCCCTTGTAGAATCTTAGGATTTTCTTAACGCTTATGACTGCATAAAGAATTACATTGTGATCATCTTTCCCCACAGACTTCTTCGCCGTGCCCTTCTTGACCAAAAGGTGTTGCCCTTACACAGTGTATTGCAGCATCTACATACACTAAAGCAAGACCCAGAAACAGAACAGCAAAGAAAGGTGGAAACTCCTACATTTTCCCAGAGAAGATGCTAATGAAAAGCTACAGGCATCTGCTCCAAAATCAAGCTAAGCATAGAAACATAACCAGGCATATTAGTTCTGTCAGCCCATCCTCACTCTGGGCTTGAGAGCCTGACACATAAAGATCAAGATGCATTCGTTGCAATCATGCACCCACTTAGGCTGTGTGAATCCCATCAATTTGTTGGAATTATGGGGTGTGTCCACTTTGCACAATTTGTGATGCCACAAAAAGAGAATGCTGGATTTTTATTACCTTCCTTGCCTAACTTTCCATTCACAACTGTTGATGCATTCGTTCATGAAAGATGGGGGGGGGGGGCACTGAAAGGGAGAGTTAAGCAGCCATTCAGGTGTTTTAGAAAAAATGTTCACCTGGGTTAAGTTACCAAGTATGTATACATCTTGGGTACAATTAAAGCCTTTTAAAAAAAAAAAAACTTACTGGCTTCATTATAATCCAGAGAATTCAGACCTCTTTTAGTTACATGCATGTAAGGTAATGTAACAACTACTGAGATCTCCAATGGAGATAGACTCTCCCATCTTCATCAAATGATGCAGCCAGCAAATCCAAGAGGTACTAAATGCAATATGAATGTGCACCCAGATGCATATCTTTTCTCTCATTGCTTGCAACTTTAGAAATATGATTCTGTATATGAAGAACTCCCTTGCTGGAGTGGGTCAATTGATATGATATGTAATGCTGAATTATTATGGGTATTTTTCTACCACCTTTCCATCATACATTTAATAGTGTTGTGCAAAGAGACAATTTGAAGTTTCAGTCAAAAGATGATTTGATCAAATCATTTATTTCAATGATTCCTGCTGAATCAATTTAAAGCATCAAATCAGAGTGGGTATTTTTGATTCAATTTGATCGCCCCCCCCCCAACTGAATAAACAGCTTGAATTGATTATTTGAATTATGTCTTGGGTGATTCACTCACCACTAATATTTAGGGTGGTAAGAGTTCTGATTTTAAAGTAAAGTTTTCTGGGTTCTTCTGCTAAATTTTTGCTGCAGACATGATCCATGATGCTTCTTAAACAATGTGGTTGATGACCTGATCTGGGCTGGGAGTTGCTTAGCTCCTACTGGCCACTTCACCCTGCTCCAAGTATGACCCTCCCCTTTGGTTGCTGGGCACTGACCTCCATGGGCATTTTGGCCTGGGCTGCAGGAAAGGCTGGACATCTGGTTTCTGCAGGGACATCTGCCTGTGTAATGCCTGTCCAGTCCTTCAGAAAGTGTCAGCTGGGCATCATGCAAAGTCCTTATACTGTGTTATAAAGTGTTGGTTGTTGGGGAAAGATAAAAACGAAGCCTGACACATACACAAACACGCAACATTCTAGTAATCGAGTGTTTATGTATGTAGGGACCAAGAGTCAACATAAATACTGTATGTAGGCTAACAGATTCCTAAGTAAAGGTGCACAAACAGAATGTTAACTACATGATTCAACCTCTTGTCCTTTCCTTTATGATTTCATATGCTAAGCTATTGCCTTCTTTTTTCCCCTCACACTTAGATGTCTACGGCACTGGGTTAGGGATGCTAACAGCCTTTCCTGCCTTGCCTGACTGTTACTATACCAGAGTTCACCGGCTGCTCTCCTTATCCTACTCTTTCCCAGTTTTCCATCCCTTGAACCACCTGGTGTTTGCTTTGCCATCGTTTATAGTCCAGTATATTCCCCTTTCTGCTACCTCTTTGTAGAGCTCTTCTCAGTCATCAGCTCCTCAGGATTCTCCCTGGTTCCTCTCTCTCTCTGTCCATGGATCATCTTGTTCCTGGCTCTCCAAGACACTTTCCCCTCTGATCCACATCTTGCCTGGACACCTCTCATTCCATCAGCATTTCCTGATGGAGTGAGCTGATGGAGTGAGATGAACCTAGAAGACTCCCTTCCCTCCCCCTTTCAGTCTACCTGCTGTGGCTTATTTTTGTCTTTTTTTCCCTTCAAAACCTATGTGCCAGCTTACACACAATTCTATGGAATTTAGAGAGGGTTTTTTCTTCTCCTTTTTTCCCAGTAACTGCCAGTTTTCTTCTTCTTTTTTTCTGTAACTGCTTACATACCTAAGCTGTGTACCTGACAGACTATCAAGGAGGAAAAAAATGTTGACCTTAGCTTTTCCACATAACATTTTTGTTTGTTTGTTTGATCAGGGAAGTTCATCCTTCCACACTAGGGATTAGCACTCTTGAAAGAGATAGTATGCTTATTTTTTTAAAAAACTAGGGGTTAAGCACTCTTGAAGAAGCACTAGGCTTGTGTTTGAAAAACAGGATTAGTCCTCCAAAGATGATTAGTCTTATGCTGTGCATACGATTGATTTATACTGATAAAGAAAGACAGGTTCTGCTAGATGTATATTGCAGGTTTTGTCCTAAATGACTGCATTACAGGTGTTCTGCTTGTTTTACTGGCAAGCGGTTTCCCATGGCGACACCTTTTACTTTTTTTATGCTGGGAAGCAGCAATGCCTACTAGACCACTTGGTCACTTGTTGCCAGCACTTCCAATCTGTTGCAGCAAACCATAGAAGAATTAGAGATGTTCAGTGCATGTCCAACTGCATGTACACATTCCTGTCAGTGCTAATAATGACTGGATTCTACTTGCACATGTCTGCTCTCCAGTCCAGCTGACGGTTCACAGGTGCAGAAGAGCTAGGCTGGATGAAGTGGACGTGCTCCCAGTGTTCCTCACAACTCCCTCACAGTCTTATATTCTGTCATTTAGGCTATATTGGAACGTGGGTTTAGCTCTTTTTCAAAAAGGTGCTAGATGTGCTAAATAAGGGACAGCAACTGGATACTGTTGCTCAGTCTGTTTTGGTAGATGACACTCAGCGGTGAGGGGAATGCCACCAGTGGATCCACCAATCACTTTACTTAACTTATCCTGAGTTAAAACTGTAAGGATAGAACCATCCATCAGCTCTGATGTTAAGGCAGAAAAGGGCTCAGCTGTTTATGCCACATCCTTTTCTGCTGATTCAAGGACTGGAGGAATATCTGTTAACACAACCATGAGGAAGAGCCCAACGTCCCAGATGATGATGTGGCATTGTCAACAAAATAGTTGTATTTTATTCAAAATATAAGAGAGAGAAAAGTTGCCTCTAGTAATACCCTTCTAAAAGC